TGTAAACTTTTTTTTTTTTTTTTTTTTTTTTTTTATTGCGACTCGACAAAATGACTGCACCGCGCCTGATGGAAAGTGCGAATACAGTCCAGAGATGAGAGTAACGGATGGAAAACACAAATATCTTCACTCCGTCACTATCATTTTGCCGGTCTGGCCAAATGCACTGGATGTACACCAACTGATCCCTGAACGCGATTCGCAAAAGCGTTTCACTGTGGAGGGTTTTCCGCCGTGTGTACTGTGGTCGCTATCCAGTCGGCACAGAGCCTACCACAATGCTAAGCAGATGGACACTTGTGACGCCCTCGGTCGCCTCTTACGACCCCCACGGGCATGTATGGGGAGGCGACAATGTATTCTTAAGCCGTCGCCCCACGGCTAAAACTATTTTAAGATTGCTAAATTTGACATAAGAGCAATATTACTTTAATGTTAAAGTCGCGTCATAGTACGAACTGAGTGAATGCATAGTCACAAAGCTGCCAATAAAACATCATAGTTTTAACATTACAATAAGCTTACTTTAAGCGCGTTATGGTACGAAAAGTCAATGTAAGGTTAAAGTAATATTGTTTTAAGAGGTTGTGGTAGGCCCCCAGGTACGCAGTGGAGGCATATTTTAAAAGCTCCCATTCCTATCAAATTCATTAACTCATTGATTCGGAGATATAGCCAATAATTGATTCGAAAATCTCGAGGTCTACTGCGCTAACAATAAAAGAAGTATTGTATATATCTCACCGCATCATACTGAGGCTTCTCAGCAAGAGCATCAGCCAATGACTTATCAGGAACAAGTGAAACTTGCCGCGAGCAGAGTACTGTGTCTTTGCCATCCAGACCCGCTAGTGTCACTGTTACCTGTAACATGGAGTTAAAGAGCACGTATTACATATTATTTTATAATTATTATTCAGGGTAAACTAGAGGTCTGCCAAATTTGAAGCGGTTGATTCTAATCATCTGAATCGCGACTTCTTCTGGGTAAAATCAAATCCAAGCTAGATTCTATGGTTGTAGAGACTAAAATAATCATTTCAGCAGAAAGACGTCCACTGCTGGACATAGGCCTCTCCCAAATATTGTGTGTCCATACTGCGGCTTTCGGCAAGCGGTCGTCACTCGAGAACTCCCACTGGCTATCTGTTTTGCAAAGAATTTGCCCCACCCACTGCCACTTAGGTTTTGCAATACTTTGGGCTGTCGGTAACTCTGGTTTTTTTGGGGATATCCTCATTTCTGATTCGACCTCGCAGTGAAACAGCATAGCCCTTTGAATTCCAGATTAGTTTGGTGTTGATAAAATAAGATTATTCTGGTGTGGACAATAAAACATCCTCAAAACCAAAAAGATGGCATATCTACTAAAATAACATATTGGCAACTACATAAATAAATGTTGCCCCTGATGGTGGCGTAATCCTTTAGGGCGCTGCCTCACCGAGATCATTCGCCTGTAATGTATAATTCAAGATTCGTTTGAGCATTACATTACAAACTACCTCCCTCACCGGCGAGCATTTATAAAGATTCGTTTTTAAGCATTATATTACAAACTACCTTCTTCACCGGCGAGCATTTGCCTGTAATGTAACATCCAACATTCGATTAGGCTGTGATTCCACCAGAGATGTGCGAGGTAACAAGGCGTGCGTGCGAGTGCCTCGGAGAGCCTTCGAGTGCCCGCGAGAGCCAGGAGTGCTCGTGGGTGCCCGCGAGTGCTTTTGACTGCCAGCGAGTGCCTTTGAGTGCTTATGTACTCAAAGGCACTCGTGGGCACTCACTGGTACTCAAGGCACCCGCAGGCACCTAACTTAAGTAAAAACTTGAAAACTTTTGCTCTATATCTGGTGGAATCGCAGCCTTAGAATCTGAACAGATTGTTACATTACTGGCGAATGCTCCCGGTGAAGGAGGCTACCGAAGTTACATATGTTGCGCAACAAATTCTCGGCTCTCCCCCCTCAACCCCTGTAATGCTCGCTGTTGAACGTTACATTACAAGCGAATGCTCACGGTCAAGAAGCACCCTCAAAAGTAAGATGCTTCATACTCCACCCCTGCGCAGCATGTCAACAGTGATAACCGTCTCCATCTCCTCGGCACCCTGAGCCAGGATCACTAACGCTGACTTCGACATGACTGGCGTTGTGGTCAGAAGTCTGATAACAACAAAGAATGTTTAAGGAACTGCATAAAAGTAACCGGGTAACCTTTTAAGGCGAATGGTCATCCTGGTGGCATTGATGTTCTATCTTTCCCACTCGATAGTGTCTTATTTCATCTGTCAAAGTATAGACAGGGGTACCCACGCAAGAAAGAAAAGAATGGAAATGGCATCTAGCAACATTTGTATCAAATCCGGTGTCGCCACACGCACACATTTGAAAACGTAATCTTACATTAGTGCTAAGATAACACAATTTTGATTGGTTATAAATTATCGAACGAAAATAGACAATAATAAAAAACTTTTGGTAAAAAAATTGAAACTTATTTGGATCTAATAAGGTTTTACTATTACTAGTCATATAAAAGGTAAGAATCCTATGTACATAAATTTCTTGGAACAAAAGCAAAAAGTTGACAATCTACAGATAGGGACGTGACATGTAACTGATATCAACATTGTTTCATAACTAGCGGAATTTTGAACTAGGCATTGCTCTATTCTTGGTATAATTAGGGTTCATCGCTGAGTATATGGAAACGGCATTTAAAGCAATTTCTTCGAGACTAGCGTAGCTGAATTTTACACGCACACATTTGTTACCAAATACGCATAAGGTTTTACTACACGCAAATATTAATTCATATTAGCTACGCAGGCGTGTGCGTATACGTAGCTACATGCTACAATCACAGTATTAATGATTTATTATACTGTCATCGTACTTTCATTAACCTACTAGATTTCCAGTCAATCCGATCACTGGAAGGGTTGAAATATTAAAACACAGTCATCATAAAAATCTTTATTCTCCCTGAAATATTTGTTCAACAATTACCTCTTTCTGAACTGACTGAACATGACTACATCGATATCGTCGACGAGCTTGTCAAGAAAATGAAGATACTTATTTCCGAAGGCGAAGAAGCGTATCATTTGTTTCATGAAAACTTGACGAGAAATAATTGACAATGCTTCAGAAATGTTTTTACATTTAGATGTGGTCTATAATTTGCGACTCTGAGTTTCATGTCATATATTGCCTGAGTAACCAAATGATTTATTTCTTAATTAATTTTTCGGTTGTTATTCATATGTATATAATTTAATGTGATAATCATCATGAAATGCCTATAGCAAATGGTGCTACATTTAGTAGGTACCCAGCTTTTACTGCCTGTTGCTTCAGCCCATTTTCTCCCTTTGAAAAGGATCCGGCGGGAAACTAAAAAAATCAATACAAAAACTGCAAATGTAAATCATGCCTGTGATAAAACTAAGAACTCAAGCGGATAAGGGAAAAAAAATCTCCAATCTCATAGTCTTCATTTGATACTCCACGAACTTACGTGCATTGTAAAATTATCGACACTGTACCTCTTCTATCTATATTTCTATTTTTTCCATTAATATATCTTTTTTACTTAAATTCAAAATTAAAAAAACTATTGCTAGTGTTGGGACCAAACATTTAAGTAATCAAAATTGTTAGCTTTTAAATACCTGTACACAATTTATGTTTACACATTGGTACAGCATGATAAAAAAATGTTGAACTAAATCAAACGGGTTTCTAAATACAGAGTTTCTACATATCGATAATTTGATTACAACACGCGGACCTTAACCAAGTGTAATACGACACTAGTGCAAGCAATTCATTGAGCGTCATTCAAATTGTTCTTTTGACGGCGGCGATGGCTACCAACCAATGTATATTGTTTTTACCGAGTTGCAAGAAAATAGTTTTGTTTCGAAATTATAGTATTGTATTGTTGAAAATATTAGAAAATACAGAGTATTAGTACTCACCGATGAAATTAAATCACTCCCGGGGTATTTTTTAAAGTTTGGCTTCTTACGCGACATGATACAATTGCACAATTCCTACTTAATATATTAAACAATACTTAATATAGATACTTAATATATTAAACAATATTCCTACTTTTTCCACAAAATAATCATATATCACATTTGAACGACGACGGACGCGCTGTTGACACTCATATGCCCGTCTGGTGATAAGCTAGGTAACGCGGACCCCGCCCACTAACCAGTCTATTATACTAGTATTTATGTGGTCTGTGGGGCTACCGTTTGGCAACTTCTTTCTATATATTTCTAAAGGTATGGGTCGACTAAACTAATAGATCCAAATGCACTCCACGCGTACTCCTGCGCCCGCACCCGCCTCGAGTCAGTTCTGGTGCGCACGACCAGTGTGAACGCAAGGAGCGTCTACGTACTAGACATGGTCGGTCGATCATTTTTGATAACCCGGGTCGATCATGACCCATGCGTAGTGTGATCGGGTCAAATGACTCGATCGTATGTTCGACATTTTAGCGGGGCACCCGGACCGGACACTACTAAACGCCATAGTGTCAAATTATACAATTAGCTTTTATTCTTTCCTACTGATGGATAATGTGTCTATAGTCTGTTTCAATCCAGTTTGAACAAATAGTAAACAATCCTGTTTGGTTATAATTGTAAAGCAATCACTCAATAAATTTATCATAAAAATCACTTTTTCTAACAATATTTATTTGAATAGCATCATAAAATCGTATTTGAAAATGGTACTATGTCTTGCCTATGGTTGCATAGTGCTATTCGAAAAAAAAAACATTCGGTTCAATCAATTAACGTTTAGTAATTGATTATTAAATCGAACATTTCAATCGCACTTCAATGAGTATCTAAGTGTAAGGATTTGAATGATTTAAATTGAAATTTTAAATAAGCTTATGTAAGGAAAACTGCTAATATGACTCAATTGAACAAATCAACTCATTAAATTAATTAATCGATTTGTAGTTGGCGTTACAATTGGCCACCACTAAACCGTCTATGGTCGGGTCATTGACTTGTTTGTTTACTTTTTGTTCAAAATGGATTGAAACAAAGTATAAATGCATTTTTGATAAACCACACTTAGGACACTAAAAATCCTTCTAGAAAACTAACGGTGTTACAAAACAAAATTACATAACAAAAACTTAAGAGCATTCAAAATTACTAATTCATTATTCATTAATATTTTAATATTAGCTAGTGCACTCTTAAAAAATACAACATACCGAACATGAGATTAAACTTACGAAATTACCATGTAATGGACACTACGCCACTGAGCAATTAGGATGAATGATTGATAGACTTATTGATCTGTTAACCCGTTGACTCGTTGATCGATTGCTTGACTTTTTTATTCAATCAAACGAAGGTTCTTTCGAACAAATGTTTGACCCAAACAAAGAGTGAGGAGAATTAACTCACAAACTGTCACTTTCGAGATAATTAGATTTTTGTAAAAACAGTGTGAAAAAATAAATAGGTAAGTTATTTGAGACAAACAATGTGAGTTATGTGTAGCATAGATAATGATGTCGGGAATTTATTATATTATACAGCAATAAATAGAAAACATTATGTATCTTTTTATTTAGTTAACAAGAACTATGTTCTAGTTTTCGTAATAAAAAGGCTAAAGATCTACAGTACTTCAGTACATGTGACATGGATCCATTTAGCATATTAAAAAAAATACATTATATGAAGTTAAAAAAAAAAATAGGCGCAAAATAGACGCCTTGACGTCGAGTTGCGGAAACTAGCCCGTTGCATCAATACCAATAATATAAATGAAGTTAAGCAGCATGGTTCTTTTTAGCTATAAAAAAGTTACTTATTTAGGGTTGGTACCCTGAAGGACATTTATTTTCTCCGTTTTGACTTGGTATATTGCCAGGATCTTTTGTGAGCGGGTAAAGGACATGTCTAGTGTTCTACCTAAATACATAACTCAATTTCACTCAACATGTGGTTTGGTTCTTGTTCACATAACTATGTCCAATTGTTGAATAATCTCTAAAATTATAATGATAAAATCGAATATTGCGCGCATGTCCCATAAACTCTAAAATGATCGGGTTACTTAGAAGCTAGTAACCAGGTTATCGGGCCACAGGTGCAATTCGAATCATTTTGATTTGATCGAACACAATGACACACATCTATTACATACATTAGATTTAACTCACTGAATAAGGCCACTATCGTGACGCGCGCGCGCCGTTTTTGCAATCACAATTTAACTAAAAATTTAATTATTGAAGCGCTGCAGCAGTGGCTGCCGCGTCACGGCAGCACTACTAGCATCTTATTTGACGGTGCCCTTAGTGTTGAACTCAAACCATTCTTTGGCATATTTTGATAAATGAACTTGGTAAACTTACTACGCAACGTCAACGTCTGACAACTTTGTAAAATTTACGAGACGTTCTGCAAGTACATTTTATGAAAAACCAAACAAATACTCACATAAAACAGTAGCAATACAATAAAGTTGATATCATTACATTCAGACCAACATGGGCTGTCGTTTTAATAGGTATACACATTATGAAATTGTGAACTAACGTTCACCGGCTATATTACGCAGAAAATTTTTGAGGTTATAAAATAAAATTAAATATTACATTATAATTTACCTTTTCTTCCAAATATAAGGAATTTCGGATTGAGTTTGATAATGTTTCGTTATATTATGCGAAAAAATGACTGTTATTGAGCAAAACCTCCTTAGAAAAATCATGTAAAATAAATAATGACAACCAAAATATCGTCTTGAAATTATAATAGTGCGTTTGAAGGTCAAATTACCGGCGTTTATCAGTTTTGTTATGCAGGTAGTAACAAGTCAAAGATTACAAATAGACTGAAATAAAATTAATATTCAAGGTTAATTAGTTTGTATTATTTAATTAAGCGTAGTTAATTAAGTTACAATAAGATGTTCGTAATAATGTTTCTAGGTGCTGGTACATTGTATATATTACTAAACGAAGTTGATCTATGGTGTAATACTTTATTGATATTATAAGTAACTACCCCATTTCTTGGAAGAATTAGAAAGACCAGTAGAAAATTGACAATTTCACTGTTCCCCGAAGTTGCCAATTTCGTCCGGCATTTTGGCAGGTATAAAGGCTTGAATACACTAAGGAACAAAATGTCCCCCAACACACCGCGCAACAGTGTACTTAGGTGTCTCTGTAACACTTTGCAACCCATTAACTGCCTCTGTGGCTGAACGGTTATCATGCTGGACTGCCACTCTCTCGTGAGTTCGAGTGTAATTTGTGGTTGTCTATGTGTGTGTCGAGAACGAAAACACATGCCGCGCGTCAGTGCCGCTTTTATTGTTGCCAAGTGTAGTCATGTGCGCAACGTGACTCTCAACATGTCTCATGTGTGGGGAAACGAAACCGTGCTTCTACTTATAGAACTTTACCAGGATCATGATTTATTGTGGGACTCATCAAACTGTAAATATCAAAACAAATTAAAGGAAAATGATGCGTGTGAGGATATTGTCAAGGCTTGCAAGGATGTTCGGCGATCACTTAAAAAATAATTTGTACCCAAAATATAAAATATCTTGGTGTTATATTTGACAATAACCTCAGATTCAATCGGCACATTCGCGAGGTTGCACGGAGACTAAGGAAATTGATTTACATCTTCAAACAGCTTCGTTATATTGCTGATAGCAGACTTATTGAAATGGTATATCCAGCACTGGCGCAATCTATCATATTGTATTGCATTACATCCTTGGGTGGAGACACTAAGTCTGCGATGATGGAATAGGAAAGAGCACAGAGAGTGTTGCTGGAAGTATGCTTGTTTAAGCCGCGAAGATTTCCAACGGTGTTCTCTCTGTTTGTCTAATTGATATTCTGCACACTGTACTTCGACAACACTCCAATATACGTATTGCCAATTATATTAGAGTATCCACAGCTAGAAGATCCTATGCAGTAAGTAAGCAAACACACACACACACACACACACACACACACACACACACACACACACACACACACACCAGACATACATTTTGTTAAATGTTAAGTGCTTACGTTTTAAATCATAATTATAGCCGTGGTGGGAGGACCTGGAAGCTATAGCACAGGTTACGACTTAGTTTAGATTCCAGCTTCCTCACAAACTATAATTAGCTAATACAACTAGTACTTATTAATATATGTAACAAGAATTTTGTAGTTTGTGATGGTACAAATAAACTATTTTTCATTTTCATTTTCATTTTCAATTCTTCTTTTTAGTTGTAGTAAGTAATTCCTCATCCCTCATCCACCACCTTCTCTTTCGCTTACGTTTCGCTAAGCTACCCGAAATAACTATGTAGCACTAATTGCCACAACCTCCTCCGGCGACGTTACTGTAAACTCTAATAAGTGTATCCAAGGTTAGGCCTGCAAAATGTTCTGAGACATTGTCCCCGGGACATTTCGCGTAGATGTTGAGCGCTATGTTGCGCAACATGTCGCTCCATTTGTCCCGTAGTGTATCTAAGGCTTATAGTAGACATATTACGTTGACCCCAACCTACATCACATATTAGACTGGACGTCAGCCGCTATTTAAACGTTGCCTGACGTGAAGTGGAAAAATTATAATTTTTGCGTCATCTACATAGTGTTTAGAACTTGACAATGAATACTATGGAAATGTCGCATCGAAGTACCCATTATTCAGTTTTTTTTTCAATAATAATTTATAAATAAATAAAACGGTAATATTAAGATACTAACCAGTGAGATAAGGGGGAAATTCCCCTTATTAAGTAAGCATAACATTGTACCAAGTGACGCGATCCGTTTTTTGAGCCCCAGTCAAATTGTGTGGGATCCACCGAGAGCACAGCTTTTTCACACCCAAACGTTTGTGTAGTATTGATTATATTTGACACATGCCTATGCCGAAAGATGCCCGAATCTCATAGTATGCCACATGCCTGTCTGTTTTGATCATACGGCGCACAGCATCGATGTTTTTGATGTTCACAGCAGTGGACGGGCGACCATCACGAAATCGTTACTGAGATTTACACGACCGCGTTTGAATTCTGTAAACAAGCTATAATAAGTCACAAGCAGTTTGAAGCCGAGCGAAGTTCCACTGAGCTGTTTAATTATACTTAAAGTCGTAGAAAATCATACTACGAAAATTTTCACGAGTTAAATCTATGCTGATTGAGAGACAACCAATTTCTAAAATGACGTCATAACGTAAAAATAAGTGACAGTCAGATGAAACAAACTGTATTCTACAGCCAAAGAGTTCTATTTTCAAATGTTCTAATTACTTTTTAAATATTTATGTAAGTGGCCAATTCCGGAAACTTATAGTGCGCCCTGTGTAGTAATAGGCAAAAACTTGCTTGATTCCTAGACGCTTTTGATGTGTGTATGTTTGAGAATATTGTTTTAACGACTGAATGAACTAGTGCGTGACAAAAGACCCAAAATTTCCCTCTATCTAATACTAAAAAACCAAGTATGGAGCTCCGCTCTTTTAGCGTCGGGGCAATTCGCCTGGATTTTTTGAATTTGCAAATTGTCTGTACATACATAATACACACTGTGCAATAAAATATCGAAACGCTTTTGTTACTTTTCTTCTGACTCGATTCCAACTCGTTAGTGGCTATTTAAAATCGGTCAAATCTGGTTTTATGCTACTCGTGCCCATCTACACTCACGGACAATAAAATCAGCCAATAGACTATGACTGTATTCTAACTGCAGAGTTAAAAATAACAAGTGCATTAACTGTTTTTTTACATAATACAACTTACATACTTTAATACATAACATACTTTAATTTTTGGTCTGAGATATTAAAATTTATGATCATCTCGAGTTCTTAGGTTTTCATGATTATTTTCACGAGAATTAAAAATACGAGAACCACAGAGCCTAAATTGAATTTGTTTTATAGCGGGAGTCATAATTAAATACGGTATATTTTGCTAAAGTTGTACTATGGATTATGAATTTCAGTCTTCGTTGTTCTAAGTAGAACAGGTTACAGATTAATGGCCTGATACGAGCTGCTTTCAGATGTTCTTATGGGGTTAATTAATTCTACTTCGAGGAAGACTTAATTTTTTAAAATTTATTATCAATGAAAAGGTTGCTTAAGCAAAAAATGATGAGAAGATATTATATTATATTTTTTTGTAGCAGTAGAGCGCCTTGTAAGAGTTCGTTCAAGGAAGTATTGCTAGATTGCATATTTCTGCCGCCAAGCAGTAATGTGCACATTTCCGCGTTTCGGTTTAAATGGTAAGGGCGGATTTATTCGACACGAATTTCATCGCACTCACGCTGATTTGCCGCAAAATACGCTATATTCATTTAGCTTTAACGTTTTAACTTAAATGAGCGTCTCAGCCACGCGGACGAGGCTGGCTTGAATTTGGTCTACGCTGCGGTTTGGCGGCAGCCGCGCGTTTGTATTATTCAAAGGAATTTAATTGTTGTTGCATAGTAAATAAAATTCAGATTCGCCATTAATGTACATAGTAACTGAGCGGAACTCGTGTAACTGGACGCTAAGGGTGCTGGTGAAATTATAGGCATAAGGGTCTTTACAACTTATGTCTTAGGGTGACGGGCGCAGTGAAAGCTCTAAGCCGTACTGCAATTGTTAAGGAGAGGCGTCTCCCAGGCACACGTTTCGTCACTTGGTGTCATAAAAAAATATTATGTTTTCTTTCTTATAAAGACAGTACTTATAAACAAAACTTGGTCCAATTTAAGGAAATATAAATTAAGCTACGGTATCCCTGACAGATGTTCGTTGACGGTAACTCCATGTTGTCTATGACCGCTTCCTTTCGTTCATTTTTAACGTCAAAGCGAACAAAAAATCGTTTTTATTGTTACTGTTTCAAGTTTCTTTGTCAATTTAATTATAAATCTTAGAGATGCAACATAAAATGCTTTTATGTAACATTTGTTTGTGATCGAACGCAATAATTTAAGTATTTTTTTCTACAAAATCCATTTTAGGTTAGGCCGTGGACGTTATGTGAAAAAAACAGTTTTTTGTGAGAGAACAATGTGTTTTATGTGACCAAAAAGATTGTATAAATATTAAAAATGGATTTTGTTAAGCGAGAAGCTCAAAATCTCATCGACGAGGAGCAATATAAGGCGTATATTGAAAGTGTAAGTGTGGTTGAAATTTTCAAGAAAATTTTAATGAAAATAAATTTGTCGACATAAAAACTAGTTTTTGCGCTCGCGAACTTTGACACTTAAATAGATTGCGTATCCTTGAAAGCTCTTTATATTCTGAACAGTTATCACTTTGTTTTAGTCATTATTTCTTATCTCAAGTGATTAAGAGACAGATTACTGTATCTAACTCTGGCAAGTGATAAGTACAAAAAAATTGTATATGGAATTGTCTTGATTCTATTGTCTAATTTTTTTAAATTGTTAATTCTGACCAGAGTCTTACAGGGACTTACATTCTGTGGTTTGTAATTAAATTTTTTTTTAAGGGATCAAATTTTATTGTAACTTTTTTACAAATTCACAGTATCAAATTAAGGACAGGTTTTCACTGTGCTTGACCAAAATTAGGCTTGAAAGGTTTATGTTAAATTATACTATATATATATCACCAGGTTATTAAATGGATAGAATAAATTGATCACTGGGATAGTGATTTGGTTCAATATTAATAATATGTGTGAAATACACTCAGATGTCAGCACAAGAAAATATTCAAGGATATCTTTGAATTATTAAGTCAGAGTCAACAATGAATTTATGTTCTGTAATCAAATTTTTATAGAGGGTGGAAATTTAATATAGATCAGCTAGGCATGTTATGGTTATAGCTAGGGGCAAACAGCCTCCATAGCCGAATGGTTACCATCCTGGTCTGCTACGATCCGAGGTTCGATTGCCAGGCCAAGAGACATGTTTGTATAGCCTACATTACCATGTTGCTCTGCCACAAGCCCGGATGTGGTTCGCGGGCTTTGAGAAATATTTGTATGGTCTACATTTATTTCTCTCATGAGTTTTTAAATTTTTTTTAATATATAATAGACACACACATGGCCAATCTCAGGAACACTGAAATCCACAAATACTTGGAGATTTCAACGATTCTAGAAGTGATGGACCTGTATAGACATAAACACAGGGATCCACTCAATACTCATCCGAATCTTCTCAGTAAAGCCCTGGTGATGGTGGCAACATTAATAGGCTGAAACGACAGCATATGTTCATTGACAAGGAGAAGCTGAAGCATTGCTTTCAAATGCCAAAAATAACCTTAGCAATATAAATATAGTCTGGCAGCTAATTGTAGATAAATAATAATATTAATTTAAAAAAGCTTTTTCTGCAACTGCCTAGAGTGATTGGTTCTGGTCTGGGTGTTCTGGGTAGTGTCATGCAGTGAATTCCTATGCTCTGGTAGCCATACAGATAGTTTCTTAGCTTGAGACCAGGTAATAGACATGGTTGTCTGGCACGTTTATTATATTTTTGCCATTCTTGATATCTGTAGTACTGCTACCTCAATTGACAAACCCTTGTGCTTGCGTATCCCCCCACACAAAGTAAGTCTCACTTGCTCTCATGTCCACTGTGTCCAACCAGCTGTACCAGCACAGATCAGCTAAAGAAAACGAGAGTCTACATAAATTTTTGATGATAAATGATAAACGACTATTTCATTACTAAAAGTTTTATCTAACTCGAAACTTAGTTTTTTAATTTTTATGTTGTATTATAAGCCCTTGAACGATAAACCGACCTTGAACCACAAACAGATCCATGATATAATTTAATGTAGTTTGGAATAAAGAATCCTGTTACTCTTTTCTTCCTTAGTCATTACTTGGCTGATTGTATTCCACTGATTCAGCTTTCTAGTCCCTTGGTTTGACCATATTAAGTTAAGCAGGGGTCAAATTATCAGCGCGCATAGGCTACGATCCGGGCACGTTCCAATAAACAAATTTTTGTATTTTATGCAGAGGGTGAACTCACCAAATTGCGAAGTATGTGGGATACCTAAGGATACATCATTTGCTCATGGAGTGTGTGCGGACGGAGTCTATCAGGGCGCGGTTATTTGCACAAGCTGGTTTCCGTACATTTAATGTTGGGTGGTTTCAACATGTTTTGTCGGAGCCAACATGTAGCGCCGCGGAGATTTTGTATGCAATGACATGTTTGGTTAGGTAGTATTTTGATTTATCTATCTGGATTTTATTTATTATTTTTTTGAGGTATTGTTTTTCTAATGGGGCTGACATGTTCAGTAACGATCAAAGTCCCTAAATAAATATGGAGCAAAAAAACTTTCTTGTGTCCTTGAATTTTTCAAACGACTAAAACCACACTTTTCGTTAACCAGAGATCTTGAACATTTATATGTAGTGATAGTTTTGCCTTACGGCGCGTCCCATTATATCGTAACGTTTTATATATCGTTAGACGTCTGTCACGTCTAGCCTGTTCCCTTAGCACGACTATCTGTCGTGACTGTGTCATGATCGTTTATTTTGTCTTTGAACGCCTGTCGTGTCCAGCTGTTCCCAATAGGTCGTGACGACAATTTATCGGTTCAGAATCATGTGAAGCTGAACAGATAATCATCTGTCGTCACATTTTTATCGTGACGTTCTATTTATCGTCAGACGACTGTCGTTCTAGCTCTTTTCATTGTCACGACAGTCTGTCATCGTAACGACAGTTAATCGTGTTGTACCATAACGCACATAATACTGCACCCTCAATAACGTCAGGAAAATTAAAAAAGTCAGGAGTGACAGTATTAGGAGACGAACCAGGGTAATCGATGTGCTTTCAGAGATAGATCAGGCAAAATGGAGATGGACTGGGCATCTGTTGCGTAGGTCGGAAAAATGGAGCAAGGTAATTTGTACCCGCGTGATGGAAAGCGTAATAGCCCTCTATTCCCGTCTATAGCCGTCAGCATCAAAGATGGGAGGGTGAGCTGCAGGACCGTGTTGGAGAAGAGTAGCTCTTGATAGAGCACACTGGAGGGATCTGGAGGTGGCCTATGCCAAGAGACACGCTGAGTTATGGGATATAATGTGAAAATTTAAAATACAAAGGAAAATTGTAATGTAAAAATATCTCTAACTCTACTTCAAAAGGCTAAATTATTAGAAATAAATAAATAACGCAGACACTCAACATAGCTCTGCACTAGGGAACCCCTGTGTCGCGGCTGCCATGAACACACACATAGACAAACACAAGTTACATCCAAACTCACGAGTGAAATAAATGTAGGCCAACTCTCAATAGTTGACTTTTTTGCATAGCGACAGTATTGCCTTAAAAACAGAATAATGAATACAGTACAAGTACTTAGTATGTGTGCCACGTGTGCCAATACACCATTTTCGATTTGTATGTTATGGCTGTGTCAATTATTTCGAGAAAAACCTGGAAAATAATATTTTCTATGGTGGTGTTTCATATCATAGTTAAATCTTAATTTATTCAATTTTATTAAATTTTAAATTTTGTTTGTCGTGATAGTTTCTTTTTTGTTAGAAGAAACGAAAATAAACCTTATACTGCTGCAATATATATTTGCTTCTTATTTCGAGAACTAAGTAAACATCTCGAATCCGTCGTCGTTCAGCTATTTACCGATAGATGGCAGCACATTGATTGAAATTTCAATATAAAATCAAAACGTCTAACTTGCAATAATAGGTATTGATGGTATTGTACTTTCAACGATATGCCAACAGGGTAAAGTTGAAATTATATTAACTCTCCAGAATTTGTTATAAGTATCTGTCAATATTTCATAGTATTTAAAATTATGAATATAAAAATATAATATAATAACGCACACACTCAACATAGCCCCGTACTAGGGAAACCCTGTGTCGCAGGTACCATGGACGCACAAATAGACGACCACAAATTACACCCAAACTCACGAGAGAAATAAATGTAGGCCATAGAAATATTTCTCCCGGCCCGGGAATCGAACTTGGGACCTGTTGGGTAACCGTTCGGCCACGGAGGCAATTTAGAATGTGTGTGTCTTGGCGACAGCGGTTCTGATAATAATCGAGGCTTAAAACACTCCCATTGTTTTTTTCTTCCGTCGTTAAACGTGTGATGTATCATTTGTATCATCACTACAACAATTAATATTGTTCCAGATCCAAAAATCAACAGAAATGGAGTACCAACACACAGCAATATCAATGGAGCAACTGCACCAAGCGATGCAATCATCGTTACAATCGTCTCTCAACGCGACAACGATTGTACATAACTTCCAACTTCCGTTATCACCGCGCCAAATGTCCACGCTCATGTTAAAAACGAATCACCTAACCCGTAACTTCAGCGAGATCCCAGCACACATACCTAGAAACTTAGAAATGGAGCTCGTACAAAATCTAAGCCAAGAATTACCTCAAAACCTACGGCACGAAGACTTAAGCCGTAACTTAGACTTAACTTTACCAAGACTCAACGAATTGGAACTACAAAATAACTTAGCACAACAAATTTTAACGGAAGACTTAAGAATTAACGATTTAAGTCGTATTAACGACGTGTTACCACAGAATTTAACAATGGAACTGCCTCAGAATTTGAGTCACGACATTGATTTGTCTCATCACCTGAATCGTCAGAATTTAGACCATTTAAACCGTCAAAATATTGAGCAAGAATTACACGAGGAAGCTAGAAGAATGGTACATGATAATTTAATAGAACAGAGTATAGCTCAACGATTGGATCAGAATCTTGGTCAACGATTAGACCAAATACAACGAATTGTACCAAATATAACGATACACGATAATCAAAGATTGGATCATGATACATTGATACCAATGCCATTTCATATTAAATCGGAACAGGAAGATGATGGATATTTTTATGATAATATCAACCAGGGAGTAAACGTTAACGGATTGAACAGTAAGTGTTTTTTTCTTTTGCTTTAAGGCAGACAATTTAGTTTTGAACCATCGAGTATATACTAAAAATATTCTGTATTTGTTGTAATAAAGATAATATCTCTAACAATGGGAGGCTGTTTCATTCGGTGGTGTGGGACAAACAGCCAAAAATCTAATTACAAAACAAACGAAATCACATTTCAACAGTTGTTAAATATTAAATATGTAATTTTTCAATTTGACGACACCCGACAATTGTTTCGAATTCGGGCTGGCTGACTGGTAATGATTTGGCAGAATAGTTTTCAAACAAGTTAAATGACATTTCGTCTCTATTTCTGGTTATATAATCGATGTTTTGAACCTACAACCTTGAACCGTTACCAATTGAACTTCGACAGATTCTTTAAACTGCCTTAACTTCTTTTTTATTTATTATTTAGTTCCCATCAATATTCGAACCGCGAACTGATTCGAGCTGAGTTTTTAATGCAGTTTGGAATACACAACCCTTTGACGCTTTGCCTTCTTAGTACTTGGCTGTGGCTGATTTTTTAAAGCCGTGGTTTCCTTATGGTGTGACCTACCGCCTCACAAGCAGAGGCCATGGGTTCGAATCTGGCCTCGCACTTCTGAGTGTTCCGGAATTTATTTTATGTACCATATACCAGGCTATTAGTTGGGTTTTTGTAAAGAGCTCTCAAAATATAGAGTCTGAATTAAAAACGAGGTATTTTTCACCTGCAATTTCCAGAAAATCATTAGGGTTTTTTGATAATATGTAAATTACAACGGAACGCAATCTCATGGAACGGCTTTGTATGTAATTTTTTGGCCAGTGGCCAAAGCCATAAGAGAATATTGACAGATCAGATGTCAAAGTCATTCTTGTTGCGATTTAATTAGCCAATTAGAATTATGATTTTGAATATTTTAGCGTTTGATGGTCATATTCCAGAACTCTAATCAATGCTCTTGAGTATGATTTAAAGCACTAGAAATCATATTCAAGTCCTTGCCATTAGGGTCGTATTTCCAGTGCTTGAAATCATACTCAAGTCCTGATTTGAGCATTGAGTAGAGTTCGACGCTCAGGGTCGTATTCCAGAACTCAAGTCAGGATTTGAGCAGACTTGAGTATGATTTCAAGCACTGGAAATACGACCCTAATTTCAAGGACTTGAGTGTGATTTTCAGTGCTCACTGCAATACTCGAGTCCTGACTTGAGTGTTGAGTAGAGTTCTGGAATACGACCCTAAGCGTTGCTGCTTATTGGACTTTTTTTTGTATCGCAGTGTTGCTGGAATTAATTTAACATATCTGCCACACTTTTGTTTTAAATAAATAAATAAAAATGCAGGTGTCAATAATTTTTTTAATCTATTTTGCTAAGCTCTTTATTTGAAGCTTATATCTAGCAAAAAAATTGAGGTTGGCTAATTTTTCTGGGAATAAAGTACCAAGCTCCATACTAATTCGATACAAGTTCTTTAGTTTGAAATTTACCGTCGAAGTCGTCGAAGAAGGTTCACAACACTCGAGAAACGTGTGAAGTCCTCAACTCGCTCTGGGCTGGCGTGGCGAACTATGGCCTTAACCCTCGCCTGAGAGGAGACCCGTATACAGCAGTAGCACATATAAATGAGTTGATGATGAAATGTATGTAATAATAAAAATACAGACATCAAAAAAATAAGTAGCACTTTTTAATTTTTAACCGTCTTCAAAAAAAGGAGAAGGTTCTCAATCTGCCTCGACTGTGTTTTTTTTGTATGTATGTTATGCGATAACTTCGCTATTTGTGAACCGATTTTGATGATTCTTTTTTTGTTGGAAAGAGGGTACCTCCATAGTAGTCCCATTTAATTTTGAAGAAAATCATCCACCGCTAAGGGTGGCTGTTCACGCATGGAGATTCATTTTTATAAATAGCGCCTAAATTTTATTATTAGGAGCAATTATTTTAATGGTTGATTTTGCTATTCTCCTATTCAAGGCGTTTTTCTCTCTCAATATACTTTGAGTTGTGAGAACCGATTTTTACTATCTCCTGTGTCAAGTCCCATATAGTGGCGAACTAGGGGATGAATGCAGGCTTGCGCACTTTCCGGTAACCGATTTCAATAAAACTTGGCAAATAGATGTAATTCCACGTACTTTTGAGGTCGGTTTTTTTAGTATTCTGTACTGATTTTTATTCATTCAAAAACTAAATTAATTACAAATGTCCATTCGCAACGTAGGCTTCGTCAGCTAGACACAAATGTGAAATGGATTGGACGTTTTAATTGATTTCTTAGCTGAGAACATCAATCCGATGATGAGATGATAATTTTTTTATCTTAGACTTTTTCAAGCAGCTTAAGCTACCCAGATGCTCATTGTCGACCAGTGTCAAGCTCAGGCCACACCGCCAAGGAAGCTAAGCTAACTTAACTCAGCTCACGTGGCCAGGGCATCTTTTCATACTTCGGTTCATTTTGCTAACTAAGCTAACCGAGCGAGCTAACTCAACGATCCCGCGAAGCTTTGTAAAATATGTCGCCTTTCACCCCAGCACGTATCCATACTGTAACACGTCACTACTTACTAGGTATTTTCTTTTTTTTGCGTGGGGAAATCCTAGGTTATGGCAGGCCGGACTTCTACCGGCTAAAATCCACGGTGGTCTTCTCGGGTGCTCTAGTGGGAAGGATTCGGGATTAACTTTGCGCACCGGAACCCCCCAGCACCTAGGAGGAGCTATGTCCTCCCCCTCCCCTCCTTACGACGAAGCGGGCCACAAGCGGGCCCCGTCGTACTCCTCGCGGCTGCCTAACTTACTGGCGAACGAAGCCTGCAGCCGCGAAGGTACGCCGCCGCCAAGCGGGATCGGCCCTCTCCCGAATACGCTCGGCGAACTCCTTCTAAAGCATCACCGCTTCACAGAAGGAGACCACTGCCTCATGAGAATCTTGATCCGCCAACATAGCCGCTACCAGGATGTTCCACATCTCCAGTGTGTATTGGGCGGAATCTTGGTCCTCCCCGCAGTGGTGGCACTGCGTCGTCGACTCGCGTCCGATCCGATTCAGATACTCACCGAAGCATCCGTGCCCGATGAGATCTTTGTCAGTCGGAACGTGGTGACGCACTTCCGCTGGCTCAACCAGATTTCGAGGTTGGGCAGGAGCCCCTACACGCGGCGCCCACTATTCGGGGAGCAAGTTGCCCGGAAATGCTCCCCGAAGTTCCATCGCCGGCCCAGGATAAGGCCCAGGTTTTTCATCTGGGACCTGACCGGGACCGATACTCCCGCGATGGAGACGTGGGCGCCTCCCGGCACCGCCCAACCTCTGCCCCTCCCGCCGAAGACGGCCACATCCACCTTCCCAGCGCTGGTCGCCCCGGGCACTTCGACTATGCACCCGTCTGGGTGTTCCGCACCCGCAAGTGCGGGATGACCCGTCGGCGCCCCTGTCACGGCTCTTCCGGCGGCGCAGCTTCCACCGCCTGGCGGAGACTCCATCTCCAACTTGATATTTTCTTACCTTAACTTTGCATTCAACTGCGTGAGCTAAGTTGGCATACTTGGTTGCAGGCAACTACGTGAGCTAAGCAGAGTTAGCTTAGCTTCGTTCGCGGTGTGGTCCGCGCTTTACTATCGTCTATTTGATCATAATTTTATTTAAATCGCGCTAACCATAAATGCGTTTAAGTACCCATACTACTTATACATGTAGAAGTGTTTTTGAGTACTAAATACCAACGGCCATGATGTGATTAAAACATAGACATATATAGGGTGCATATTTAATCATTACATTTTAGTAAAAACTGAAATTAAAATTTAAAAAACTCCCCATTACAAAACAGCGAAGTCGTCGAGATCAACTCAACGTGTACAAACTTGGTAGATTTAGCTTTAATAAAGCTTAGTTCCTGTGTCCAACTTCCTGCTCCATCATCAGAGTCTAGCACCGTTTGTAAGCAAACTTACTCGTGGAGACCAGTTCAATGAGGCTTAACACGTTTATTTTGCTGTAAGTTGGAAACTCCTTAAGGAGTTATTTAGTTTGCAGACTTTTGAATCGGAGGCTATGCAGGAGTGAGTGTTAATTTTTGTGAGTAAGAACAACTTAGCAAATACACATACGTACTTACATCTGTCGTATTTTGACAGCTATAAACTTCTTGGTAATACAAACGCAGTCTGTCTTAAGTTTGTGAAGTAGACGGCGATAATTTTGACAGGTTTTCTTAATTAATACAATCAAGATAAATGCGAATAAATAGATTAATTTTTTTTAGTGTTTCATACAATATTTATTTATTTTATTAATTTCAATGGAGATCCGTACGTAACTACGTCGTCCTTTATTGGTTGATAGTCCAGGGATAATTATGATCGTTACTATTATAAAAGAAAAAAAAAAGAATTATGTTAAAATGATAAAAAAAATACAATTACTTCTAAAGAAATTCCTTTTATCATCAATGACATCACTTTTAGTTAGGTTATAAAAAAGTTTAACCAATTTTGTACTAAAGGGCGTTGTCAATTTCTTCTTATGACATATTTAAAATGGGCACACTGTATACATTAAGGAAATAAAAAAGGAAGCTATAATTAACATAACCTTTTACCTATTCAAAACTCCAATTTACTTATGCATAACTTCTGAAATGCCATATGGAACAAGTTTATATTTCTAGAAATTAATTATGTATGCTAACATATAACTTTTATAAAGGTTAAAATTTTATAGTAAAAATAAATAATAAAAAGGTTGATAGCTGGTGGGTCCATTTTTTTTTATTCGTAATGGCACTGGATTACTTAGTGCCAATACTATAGAAAACTTTCTTTGCAACTTTGTTCTGTAATAGTCGACATTTGTCGAAAGTTTTTTGAAATTCGCTTTCTTGAATTTAAAAATAGAATTTATTTGATGTATTTTTTAACCGACTTCAAAAAGAGGAGGAATGTCTCGATTCGACTGTATGTTTTTTTGGCGGCATTTTACGAGATAACTCCTAACTTGTGAACCGATTTTGATGATTCTTTTTTTGTTGGAAAGAGGGTGAGAAGCGAAGAAAATTAAAGAAAGATTAAAAATTTTAAAACGAGTGGCCAGGAACCGTAGAAAAGGCGATAAGAAGGCGGGATGACGATGTAAGGAGGTCACATCGTCACTAGGGTACCAGCTCAGTGGCAAACTAGGGGATGAATGACGTTTGAGGTCAGTTTTTTAATACTGCACCGAGAGTACGTGAATGGCAAGTCAATAGTGTTCCCCATCGCGTCCAAGGTTCACTACAGAATCCACGTATTAATTTTTGTCTACTACTATTCTGTTATAGTTATTAATACAAAGATCGAAAAAATTCCTTCGATCCGGTCTGATTCGAACCGATCTCTTCTAGCATACCGTGTCAGACGCAGAACGAACCAGCGGACCTCACGAATTTTTCTATGTGCTTGCATCGTATTTGGTTTTCCAACGACTTTTTAGCCGTAGCGCCATCTATGAGAAATCTATGATATTTCGTCACCCAGCTAGATACCTTTACAGCTACCAGCCCATTGTATATAAATTGTTATTGAATTGATATTCAATTATTTTGAAAAAATCCTTAGATTCGATCCTTCCTACTATTCTATCAAACGCCGTGGTAACTTAAACAGTTTGACTTACCGCCTCCTGAGCAGGGGCCGTGGGTTCGAATCCGGGCTATCACGTCTGAGTTTTTCTGAATTTAAGTGCGAAATTGAAATTTGAAATTTACCATGAGCTTTTTGGGGAAGAAAAACATCGTATTGCAACCCACACGTCGAATAAATATATTTCCATCCATGTATATTTATGAAGTTTGTAAATTTGTCAAACAGCTTCTAAAATTATTTAAAAAAATCTTTAGAAATTAATCCACGCCCAAAAAGAAACTAAATGACTCCTTAGAAGATAAAATTTTGTATAATGGCTGAATAGATGAACTCAAATGTAATAACTACGATCCTGTAATAACCTATTCAATGCAAATAAACCTTTTTTCGTTATTTATGGTTGACAGCTCTCGGTTTAAAGTTAAAAACGCTCCCCTGTAAACTTGGCAATTTCAACATACGATACTTTACGTAGGAGGAGTCGATTTAAGAACTAAACCTGACATATTAAAGGAAATTTGTTCATCCAAAAATATATGAAGCCAGCCCATCAGACTGCACAAGATTAGTTTGTTTTTTATTTTCGATTATTAAAATTTTTTAGTTCCTTTTTTAATTTTTTTAAATCATTAAACATTCATATATACAACAATAATAAGTTTACAGACGTCCTACTTTGAAGGAAGGTCGCGTTAACTATGGTCTAAAACTCTCGCGTGAGAGCAGACCCACGCCCAGCAGTGAGACGTATGAATGGGTTGACGTTGGCACATATACTTTACCTACACCAGTTAATATGTAGTAAAGAAACTTTATTTGCAACGCAGGAAAGATATTTCAAATGAATTTGTTTCTTTTATTCCTGACGTATTGGATGACCTCGGTGACCTTCGGGTTATCTGTCTAAGCAGTAGATTATTAGACGTCCGGTACTATACCCAGTAGGTTCACTGACCCTGCCCGGCATCGAAGCCGGGAATTTGTGAACTAGTGCTTAGACTGCTAACTACAAGATCGTTAAGATTGTTTCAGTTCAGTCGATTATTTTGTTCCAAAACCCGACGCAACAAGAGGGATATTATAAGTTTGAAACCTATGTCTGTGTGTCTGTACGTCTTAAAAACTGAAGCTAGGACTAAATTAAATTACTAAAATTGGGTAATTGTGGCAGAATGTACAAGATGTTCTGGTAACATAATAATATAATAATAATGCTATAATAATGCTGCCATTATTCTACCTTTTTAACTCCCGATGCAAAAAGAGGGGAGTTATAAGTTTGAAGCCTATGTCTGTGTATCTGTATGTCTTAAGAACTGAAGCCAGGACTAAATTAAATTACTCAAATTGGGTCATTGTGGCAGGATGCCCAATATGGCAGCATTCCACCTTTTTAACACCCAGTTATAAATTTAAAACTGTATATGTCTGTCACATCGTAGATCCACAACGAATGGAGTAATCTCAAAGCGTTTTTTTTAATTTATTAACTATTAGGGAAGGGATGGTGCTTAACTATGTTTTACGAACATCTGTTCAGCTACTTATAGATATCAGCTCTTTTTCCAGTTAGATAAGGACGGGGTGAATTTCGTATCGAGATTTGGTCTAAATTTTAATTTAATTAGATATTAAAATATCTAATATTTACATATTTCTTGCTTCCAGATCACATTCCAATCCACACCGATCAAGTAACCAACCAAAACGTCCAAGAAAACCAAATGTACATATATAACAATCCTAATATCAACATACCAGCTTTAAGTCCCATAGACTTATATTCAAGACCTCAAAATTATATACAAACCTATACAGCTAATCGAGAGAATCCGCAAAATCTAGTTATTCAAAGATTCGAGAATCAATATCAAGAGGAATTAAAAAAATTCAAACAAAATGGCGGATCTAACGGACAAGAAAATGGCGCCCAAGATGGCGGTAAAACCGAAAGTAAGGAAGAACCTAAAGAAAACTTAAAACCGAACGAAAATAAAATCAACGACTTTTTCAACGGTTTTAATCAAGTATACAACGAAAAAAGTGAAGACAGTGATAGTAAATTAACTATAACTGAAGATACGTCGCTTATAAAGGGCGAGTATATATGTTATAAGTGTAACGACGTATTTCCTTCGAAGAGAAACTTAAAACAACACGCTAAAACTTGTACCGAGACCACAGAAATGGAAATCAACGAGAAGCTAGGCAAATACACCTGCACACAGTGCGCTTATCGTTGCCAGTCGCCAGCTATATTAAAAATTCACGAAAGGACGCATTCTGGTGAAAAACCATTTGCTTGCACGTTCTGCGATTATAAATCAGGACAGAAAAATAACGTCGCTAAACATATACTCGTGCATATGAAAGAGAAACCATTCAGGTGTCAATATTGTGAATATCGTTGTGCACAGAAGAATAATTTAGTAGTTCATGAGCGAACTCATACGGGATATAAACCTTTTGCGTGTCCATACTGCGAGTATCGGACCGTACAGAAGCCAAATTTAGTGAAGCACATGTACTTGCATACAGATCAAAAGCCATTCAGTTGTGACATGTGTTCTTATAGATGCGTTCAAAAAACTAACTTGACCAAACACAAGCAACGACATTTGAATGAAAAGGAGGGCGAGAAAATTGATGTCAAAGCACAATTTAAGCCATACAGACCAAGACAGAAGTCTGTTAAATGTCCACATTGTTCTTACCGGTGCGTTCAGAAAACTAGTTTAGATAAACATTTGCAATTCAAACACGCGGATTTACCGCAAAATTTAACCGAGAATTTACCTGAAGATTTACCCGAAAATTTAGTCGACAACGGGGGGAGTTCCCAAGATGTTGAAGAGAAAAGTGATATTTGTGAAGGTGCGATACAAAATTTGAGTGTTAAAAAAGATGTAACGCATAGTGAGGATGTTTATAGTCATAACGATAAGTGATATTTTTAATAGCTTGTGTTATTAGTTGGCTTGCAACGAGTTGGCCGCATGTCATGAGGGAGGTACTGTGAAACTTATCAAGTGGTTACCTTTAAAAGACGTTTGAGGAGTTTCGGAATAAAAACCGATAAATCCAATAAACGCCTATAGTCTGTCTTTTTTGAAGACGGAGTAAAATGACATTTGTAGGGTTGCCAGTTTTCATAAAATTTTAAATAGTTATGTACTTATCGATACTTTTATCGATAGATTGTGAAAGAAGATAAAATTTGCCAAAAATGACTGAATTGTGCATGTTACGATGTTCTAATGATTACTAACTACGTCATTGCCTTCTTTATTCTTATTTTGACAGTTGGCTTACTAGTATCGAGATCAATTTTTTACTCATATATATTTTAACAAGAATAGCCAGATTTGATTATCTGTATTGGATTGAAATGAAAAACTTTAAAATATGTCTCCTCTTTGTATTTTTCATAAACATAGTTCAATATACATTATTTTTCTTTACTAACAAATATCATGGATTAATGTATCCGAAATAAATGGATTATTATTATTATTATTATTATATGTACGTATGAACTTACAAAAATTGACAATTCAATGAACTTGTGCTCAGTAATTGGTCGAGGATGATCCAGCAACAAATTTGGCTATTTATTGCAACTGCGTGACCAATATTTAGTCGATAGTCGATAGAATATTTATCGACTGCAATTACTAGCTGCTCGCAAGCGGGCAACACTTGCTCAATGAACTGTCATTTTACTCCGTCTTCAAAAAAGACAGACTATAGTCTCATTGAATGACGTTACCTATTTCTGCCGCCGGTGCTGGTGAAATTACAGGCACTACACAATAGGCAACTTCAGGGTGACGAGCGTAGTGGTAGTGCCCGTCAGATCTTTCAGATTTAAAGCTTTAAGTGGCACTGCAACTGTTATGGACAGGCATGTTACCACCAGGCGAACGACTTGTTCCGACACTGGTATCATAAAAAAAAGAATGTATTGTCACATTGTGTTCAGATCGCGTCTGAAATGTTTTTGGAAGAAGGATTTAGCGGTTGCAGTTCAAGTTGGATAAATTCATAGAAACATTACAAAACCTACCGTTTGGCATTCATAAAGAACAAATCCAAATGGAGGTAGTTAAACAAAAAGGTTCCAATGCATATCCAGCCACTTTCCGAGACATGGAAGTTTAAAGTTTCAAAGTGTTTCTCATTCTTGTTTTATTTTCAAAACTTATAATGTCATGTAACTCCAGAGATATTTATCTATGTTCATATGTTGAATTATTTTGCTGATCTAAGACGTTAGACTTTAGGAACTGTTTGATACATATAACTTATTTTTTGATAATTTTGTGGATTGGATCCTTTTTGCTTAGCTATGACCAAATGTAACTTACTAGTTTTT